TATGATTCAATTACCTCCTCTTCAGTAGATAAGAATCCCCCTCTTATGGAGAACAGTTTTTATTTTTAGGTCAAATCTCATAGTAGAAAAAGAATTATTTTAAGAATGTATTGGTGATCATTTTGCAATGTATACAAGTATTAAATCATAAATTATATACCAAGTTTTATACTTGAAACTTACATGGTATATGCAATTACACCTCATTTAGTATGTTCACAATATCATACAGCCACCACATCTATATAGTTCTAACATTGCCACCATCCCAAAAGAAAATGCCACTCATTAGCAGTCAGCTCTTTTTCCCCCTTCAACCAGCTTTGGCAAACACCAATCTGTTTCTGTGACTTTGCCTACTCTGGGTATTCCATTTAAATGTAATACAATATATTAATTTATGCATCTTTTTCACTTAGCTTTTATTTTCAAAATTCATCCACACAGTAGCATGTATCCGTACTTCATTTTTATGATGAATAATCCATTGTATGTATTGTATTTATTACCTTTTGTTTACCCATTCATATGTTAATGGACACTTAGGTTGTTTGTACCATTTAACTATTGTGGTAGTGCTGCTATGAACATTTGGGTACAAATTACTGTGCGGATAAATTTTTTCTTTTCTCTTGGGCAGACACCTAGGAGTGGAATTGCTGGGTCATATGGTGATTCTGTTTCACTTTTTAAGGAATCACCAAGCTTTTCCACAGTGGCTGAACCATTTTTCATTCCCACGAACAATGTATAAGGGTTGCTGTTCCACTTCACCAGTACTTTATTTTTTTTCTCTATAGCTATCCTGTGGATGTGAAGTTAGTATCTCATTGTGGTTTTGACTTGCGTTTCCCTAAAGACTACACTGGTTGCTTTCAAGATTGTTTTCAACTTCTTACAGTTAGATTATGTCTTGTTGTGGATCTCTCTGATTTATCCTATTTGGTTTGTTGGGCTTGTTGGATGTGTAGATTCAAGTAATTTAACAAATCTTCAGCCATTATTTCTTCAAGCATTCTTTCTGCTCCTTGCTCTCCTCTCCTTCTGGTATTCTCTTTTTGCAAACGTCTGTTATGTTTCATTGTGTTTCCTAGGTCTCTTAGGCTCTATTTTTCCTTCATCCTTTTTTTCTTTCTGCTCCTCCAATTGGACATTTTCAATTAACCTAGCTTCAAGTTCATTGGCTCATATCTATTGGAACATTCTGGTGACTTTTTTATTTCAATTATAGCTCCAAATATGTATATTTTCTTTAAGTTTCAAATATGTATGCTTTCAGCTCCAAATATGTATGTTTCCTTTAAGTTCCTTTATTGATATTCTCTGTGTTGAAACATTGTCCTCCTGGATTCCTGTAACTCTATATTTGAGTCAGTTAAAAAGTACAGTGTTTGTGCTTCCACAGGGATGATTCATATAATTCCTTCTTTGAATGGGCTATCCTTTGCTTCTTAGTTTTGGGTTTAAAATAAAACATTTTGAATATTATAATGTAACTCTGGAAACTAAGTTTCTTTTCATGCCTCAGGGTCTGTTTCTGTTGCTTACTGTGAGCTGTAGCAATTTGTTCAGTGATTTTACTAAATTACTCTTTTTGGTGAAGTCTCAATTCTTTGACTTACGTAGCCCCTGGAGTCTTCCTTCTGCTTGTGTTCAGCTGGTATGTTGACAGAGATTTTCTTGAATGCCAGGGGCCAAAAAAAAAAAACAAACAAAACAACTAAAACAAAATTGTTTTTAAAAGAAAAGGATCCTCCCAATATTTGCATATTGCCTGTGTTGGAGCACACCTTCAATGCGTAGGCAGGCTATTTAAATCTGCCTTAGCCTTCACCTCCCGCTTGTACTGATCCTAGGTATCAGCCAGCAGTAAAAGCTTAGGGTTGTCTCAGGTCTCTTCTAAGCATGCAACTGCCTGAACATAAAGAGCTTTCTCAACTCCCCAGTATACAGTGGCTTTTGTATGGCTGACTTTCCTTTAAAGAATTCTCTTGCATTTTTTCCTCTCAAGATTTAGGCACACCTTTATTTGCTTCAGTTGTAACCTTTTGTCCCGGGTGGCAGTAGGTTGTTCATTTGCCTTACAATATTTTATTTTTTAAGAAATGCCTGCCACTTTCCCCATAGTTCTGAGTTAGATGAAATAAAGCCAAGTGCCTTGCTTCAGTCCTTCGGGCAGCCCGGATAGGTTAGAACAATTTTTTTTATCATATCTGCTTCCTGGCAACCAGGAACCAAGGTCTCACTCTGAAAACGTGGGTTGCTGTTCATTTTCAAGGCCACCTCAGGGATGGGAATGGAATGAGGGCAAGTAAAACATCAAAAAGCTTTCCTGGTTTTTAGCTCTCATTTTTCTTGATCCAGCATTTAATTGGTTGCTGTAAACCTTTTTCCTCAGAATTCTGACAAAATTGTTCCTCTTTTACCTCTGGGGAGGAGTGGGTCCTTGAAGCAATCTGCTCTATTTTTGCTGATGGTTATTTTTTGACATTGTACATGTAAATTTGTAGAGCTAATTTAAGGGTCTGGACGTTTAAATTCTCCAGAGATGTTTTTACTTCTGTCAGATAAACTAGTTGCATTGGCATTCCTAAATAACCCTAAAACAGGGAATGAGGTGACTTAAAGCCAGTCATCAGGCCCTGTGAAAGCTAATCTGTTTCTCAGTACTCTTACACCAAGGTGTAGCCCTTTGGAGTGGAACGGGAAGCCTGGGATTTTACCAAGGCCTTCTTCCTTGGTGGTTCCTGTATAGACGTTTTATTTAAGGAATTTTAATACAATTTGCTTAATTTTAAAAATATACCCATTGCCAAATAAGAAATGGGGCACACAAGTTAATGTAGAAACCAAATTTGTTAATCATGGGTTTACTGAGGCAGTTTATTTTATTAGATATTACCCATAGCTTACATTGACATCTGATTTCGTAAAGAAATATTTTCATAAAGAGAGAATTTCTGCAAGGTAAGTTTATTGCTCAAAGTAGCACATTTTCTAATTCTCCAATTGAGTTTGGTTTTACTTGGCTATCAGATTTAAACCTCTGAATTTATATTTAACACGGGCACATAGTTTATTCTTTGTACACACCATAGTCACCCCTAACCCACAGGGAAAGCGCTCCTACCCCCTGCAGGTGAACGCCTGAAACCATGCATAGCACCAAACGTAATCAATGGCAACTCTGCCAGAAATGAGGTAGCAGCTTCTTCATCAGCAAATACAGCCTCTCCAGTAATTTTTACATTTTCAGTGCAACCCTATTCTTGAATATGGAACTGTCCCTTACTTGCAATGAATAACTTGGTGTTATTTACTTCAGAAGATCCCTTAAAATGTTTGTATATACTCAATGTTTCCTAGCACATTTGCTGTCCATGTCTTCCACCCACAAACTTAATGCCTTTTGTCCTAATTAAGCATTCATCACACACTGTAGCCATAACTTTTGCAGTTTGAGGTACAACAGCAAAACCAGCACCAATTTCTTTTCGCTTCTTCACAATTTCACAGGTAGAAAATTTGTTCTTACTTTGGTCTTAGCAACCTCAGAATATGATTTTTCTTCATGTTGAGAACTTCCATTTTTTCACTTAAGGGATGCATTTTATGGCTTTTCTTTAATATATCCAAAATGCCAGCATCAGTACTCTTACATTTTGGGGACGTTAAGTAAAGTAAGGGTTACTTGAACAAGAGCACTCACTGCTATACTGCAACAATCGGATAATGGAGACCCCTACTGACTAACAGACCCGTAGAGCATTCAGTGTGGATACGCTGGCCAAAGGTGATTCACATCCCAGGTGGGACAGAGTAAGGCGGCGCAAAATTTCACCATGCTACTCAGAAAGGTGTGCAACTTAAAACTTATGAATTGTTTATTTCTGAAATTTTCCATTTAATATTTTCGAACCGTGGTTAACTGTGGATAACTAAAACCACAAAAGAAAAACGTGGATAAGGGGGGACTATTTAATTCCTCCTAAGTGTTCTGGTTCTTCATGCTGAAATATCTCAACTTCCAGAAACTTGGCTGTCAGATCAAAATTGTCAGAGCTCTTCTAATGGTTAATATTTCAACAGAAAAAATATATATATACACATTTTATTATATACAAAGAACAATACAAAGTTTCATCAGGTAAACAAAAGAATACAAATTATAGTCATAATTAATAGCTTCAAAAAGCCCTTAAACCACTGTGGCTTTCTACATAAGACACAGGCATTCTTGATGGGTTACCCAGCCATTCAGAGATTGAGGTACTTCTCCCATAATAACAAATTCTCTGGAGGCTTATGTGTTAGGCCTCATAAAGGAATTAAATGCTTTCACGCCTATAGGGAAATGAATTAAAAATATTGAAAAGACCTTCTAGGGTTATGTTAATTGTTGACAGTGATTTTAGAGATAGCCATAAAAAACTGTTACAGGTATCCAGGTAAAATTCTGACTATCTTATAATAATAATAGATACCAATCTGGAGCTCTACAAATGGTTTATTGGCAAATAAAATGGAAGAAAGTGAGCTAAGAAGGCAGAATGAAAAGTCTAGGAAGGAGGCAAGCAAATACAGACATAATTCAATCATAGCAAACAGAAAAAAAAAAAAAGAAGAAGGTCCTTCCCAAGACCAACCATTGATGATATTTACCTAGAAGTTCAATCCCGGAAGAACAGTGCAGCCTCTGTATATTTGCTATTTAGTATAGACAAGAAAAATATTTTTCATTTGTTATGAAAACACAATTTTATATCAAAGGCTAGAAATACATATTTACTCAATGCAAATACCAAATGAAATCCAACTTAATACATAGTGAACTACAGAGGAATGACAAAAAATGAGTAAGCATTTTAAATGCAACTGAATTTACAATATTGCCTTGATATTTTCTATTGGTTTTTAATCTATACATAAGGCGCAAGTTCTGGAATTACAGGTTTTAGTTTTCATTTTTCTTAAAAATAAAATTAAAACCCTCAAGTTAACTACAGATTTATCTGGGCTCGTAGAGGTAATCTGCTCTTTGTAACAGGTTGCTCAGTAGTTTCTTCGACTTTAGACCTCTCCACTGGATTAATGCCTCTGTTTTCTTTGTCTTTTCCATGTGATTTTTTATGCTGTGGGTTTAAGAGGAGAAATTAAGTCAATATAAAGTAGCATTTGATACATATTAGCTATACTCTATTTTCAGAGTTCTCTGGATTATAGGAAAAAAATTAAGTGTGAAGAGCTTCCAAAAAAGCTCAGCACAAACATGAACCAACAATCTGTCTGGCAAGCAGAAATGAATGCCTGCTTCATTTACCACCAATGGAAGGAGTGGGGTGAAAAAAATATTTTCTGTATGATATTCCAAGGCATAATAACAAATCTGACTGTAGAACAGTGATCCTCAGGAGGGAGCAATTTTGTCCCTCATTCCCTACCTTAGGGGACACTTCATAATGTCTGTAGACATTTATGGTTGTTAAAACTAGGGGGAAGAAGCCAGAGCTACTGCAAAACATTATATAATACACAGCACACAGGACAGGCCACCGCCACAAAGGACTGTCCACCTCAAATGCCAATGGTGCTGCTGTGAAGAAATCCTGTAGGGAAACAAAGATTTGCTTTTGGAGGGGGGAAAAAAAGGCAGTACTATTTTAAGCAGAGAATCTGATATATGGGCTACCTCAAGACACTTTTTAAAAAACTGTATTTTATCATTCATGTAAACTTATTTCATATTTTTCATTTAGGAACTGGTATTTCATTGGAATCCTTATACTTGCTTTAAGAGATGGTTGGCAATCTTTGTAGACCCTGTCATCAATGCTGAGACAAATCATAAACCTACTTCAGAGTTTTAAACCCAGAAAACTTCCGATCATAGTGCTATCAGGGAAAAAAAAATTCTGTACTTCAGCTAAAGGTCTAAAATCCAATCCCAAATCTTTCCTGTGCTTGTAGGGACCTCCTCACAACTGAGCCACAAAAAGCCTGGCCTTCGAAATGCCTTAAACAGTAATAATGAATGGATTTTCAAATAGTAATTAACTTCTTTGAACTTTCCCCCTTTTCTTAACTTTGTAAGATAGAAGAAAGGGTTGGAAAATGAAAAGAAATATATAGAGTTGTCTAATAGGGCAGAATAAAGCAAAAGTAAGAATTTGGGGATAAAACTGTCTTAAGGCAGCCAGAGAGGAATTTAATAGAATCTGAGCTAGAAGTTTGTTATTTTTTTTTTAATTGTTGTTCAATACAGTTGTCTCCATTTTCCCACCACCACTTTCCCCTGCCACACTCACCCTCATGAGCTAGAAGTTTTAACATCTTAAATGAGGGATGGAATCTTCAGAACTTGGTAGCAGACCTCCAAGTCCATTGAAGACAAGTATAAGCATATACATACCAGAAGCAGCACTACAACTGTAAAATGGAGGCATCAATGTCCTACATAATGAAATCTTTACTCCACAGGCTGTCTAGGCTCCTGTCCTCAAAACACAGGGAAAGGTGCTAGGCAGTTTAGAGGGCCATACTCCCAAAAGCATGTAAAAGGAAGTAGGCGACATCACAGGATTTAACCGTACAAGAGCAAGGCAGGTGAGGAGCTCAGGAAACACAGAGAAATAATTAACAAGAGCAAAGCCTCAGGCAGAAGAAATCACTAATATAACCTAAGAGGACTTTGGTCTCTCAATCTTTTAAACCCTCATAGCCTTCAAAGTCTGATTATGGACAGAGACAGGTTCCAGGATTTCCATGTCAAAGGCAGAGGGAAGAGAAATGACTGTTCCCAGTATCCATTCTGAGTAAGTAGGAAGCTGAAAAAGAGCAGCTGAAGATTACGAACTGAAGATGATGATCAAGTCAAATTTTGCCTTTATTTATCCTACAGAAAACCCCTAATCAATGATCTAATTGTATAAATAATTTAAATTAGAGAAGTTAACAAGCCATTCTAAAGGAACAACTGAAAATATTTCCTTGTTCTACCTACCGAGACTAATGCCTTTATGTTGAAGAGCAAATGATTGCTATACCAGACATGAAAGGGTTATCTGATAGGATATAATCAGGTACCTGGAAAAATGGAACCCCACCACTTGATGAACAATCCACATTAGCATCTATAGATGGCTCTTGACCTGGGGGTTCTTCAATAGTGTGCTCCAGAACTGCCTTTTCTTCATCTGAGTCCTAAAATAAGAAGCAGGATGAGTGATTAAGTCCAAGGGCTTAAAAGTCTTCCCAAAAGTAAAGGCAGTTTTCTTCTTTTAAAATAACACACTATCTACTGTATAAAAGTTTATATTTCAACAAAATTAGTAGAAAGTTTACAAAATAATTAAAATAATCCCTAATATATTCTCATACAGAGAAGTACCTAAAATAAAATGTGGAAAGTGGTATTCTCAGAATAATGGAATCATAATTTCTTTTCTATTTTCTTCTTTATTACTTTCTGATTTCCCAACTATTCTAGAATTATTATACTTCAAAGCCCAAACTGTGGAGCTTGTCTATGCTCTAATTCCAACTCTATCTTTGTGGCTTGCAACAATATAACTTAGTTTCCTCACCTATAAAATGGACATAGTACTAGCATCCACCTCACAGAATTAAGAGAATTAATTGAGTAAATACATATGTAAAGCTAGAACAGCAGTGTCTAGCACATAAGTAGAACATAAATATTAGATATTATTATCCATGAGTCTAATAATAAAAAATGTCCAGATAAAAGAAAGACTTAATGCTCAGACAATATTATAAATGAGAGACAAGGTAGGGTTGAAGGGCAAAGACTAAAACTCTTCACATGAAGGTGATGATATCAAGTTTATGGGAGAGTTCTAAAATTTTCATTTTTTTCCAGTTTTACCTGACTGCTGTCTTCTTTGTTTTCGGAACAGTTTAGCATCATTAACAGCTCAGGCTGTTTCCTTGTCAGCTGATCAAGGAGCTGTTCACGTGGTTCAGTTCTCACCAGTGTTGAGGGGTATACATAGTTTTTCCTCTGTGGTGTTGTACCTTTAGTAGACATCATTTAAGCGGGAAAAATTGAAGTGTGGGATGTGAATAAAATTTTTTTTTTTTAATGCTACAACTTACACTACTAGTCCTGTCACCTAACAGGCATATATTGCTTATAATTATTAAATAATATTCCCTAACTTGACAACTGATTTTAAATAGACACAATTGTTTTCAAAACATGAAATTTTGTATCTCTGAGGTTGTTACAAAAGGTATGTTGTAGACAGTATTATTGGAATAAAAGAAGTTTTCCCAACAGGATCACATTACAGGAATAATCATATAAATTTGACAGGAACTAAATATTAACCAGTTAAATTTCTTTATAATGAACTCATGCTCTCATACTTTATTTGGGCACTTGCCTTTCTACTTAACATTGATATTCCTAATTTGATTGAAAACTGGACAAAAATATTACAGGATTCTTAGGGGGAAAATAATGAACTAATATTTAGCAGAAAATCCTTTTATAATTGTTTTAAAAAACTTTACAGTGTAATGTATATACCATAAAATCTACTGAATTATTTTTAGTAAATTTCCAGGATGTGCAACCATTACCACAATCCAATGAATTTACCGCAATCCAATGAGCAACTCAGTCACTCATCCTGTGCTAAAGAGCTTGTTATGCCTCCCAAAACGGTGATTCATAAATGCCAATCTAACAGCCCATGACAAAATGAGAGGTACACATAAGAAAATGCACAATGTGGTGAGCTTTGCACTAAACTAGGTTTATTTATTTACATTCCTCTAATTTGCAAATGAACAAAAAAATAGGAATGTAATTAAATAAATCATGGTGCTAGATTGTTGATTGATTTTGTTTTTAAATGTTCTCTAGTAACAAAGCCAGTTCCCTAGATGTTTGTAAAATTTGGCTGAACTGTGATGCCCAAGTATCTAGCAGTATCATCACCTATATCATGATATCTGATGCTTCATTAAAGTTACTTTAGGGTTCCAATTTTTCCACATTTGAGTTGATTACATGTGGTGGTAAATTCCTATCAGGCAATGGCTGGACCTAGTTTTTCCAAGCATCTAGCACTGCACAAGGTTGAATTCAACTTCAAAACTTTAATAATTCTATTTCCCTCTTAAAGTACCTGTTGGGATATCCAGTTTCAGATCCTGATGTAGAAAGCAATTAAGCTTAGCCAAACCAATTTTTATAGTGTCATTAAGTTCTAGACTTTGTGTCATTAATTTGTCTTCATCGATATTTATCTGACCAAGAAAAATGTTACGGTGGTTCTCATTAGCTGCTTTCTGTCCATGTAATTTTTCAGTAATCTCTGAACTTGAAGCCTCACAACGTTGGTTTACAACCTGTAAATGATGCAAATGCACTTTTATTACTAAAAATCAAACTTGTCAGTGCTTTACTCAATATATCATTTCCCCTTGCCTTGAAATTTTCCATAAAAAGTTTTTAAAACGTATGCCAAAGTAGGGAGAATAAAATTAACCCCCCTGTAACCACTTCTCAGCCTCAACGTTTATCAGCACATGGGTTAGAGCCTAAACAAGACTGGCCATTTACTCCTCCTCCTGGGATTATTTTGAAGCAAATCTTGTATCGTTTCATCCATTTACTTCAGCATACATTAAGACTTAAGAGCTCTTTAAGACCACTTGCAAATCAAAATAATTTAACTGATTTCTTTATATCAAATGTCTACTCAGTGTTCAAATTTCACCAGCTGTCTCAAGTGTTTTTGACAACTTGTTTGAGTTAGAATTTATTAGATTTGGTTGATATGCCTTAAGGAAGTCCTATACAATTTATCATGCAAACTGGAATACTTTTCAGAATGAAAAGGGCCATTCTCAATAATTACCCTAGTACAAAAAATGTGAAACAAGGACTACGCCAGGCAAACTAGGACTTAAGGCCACCTAATCTTTCTTCTTCTTTTTTTATTAATCCTCACCTGAGGACATTTTTTCATTGCTTTTTTAGAGATGGGGAGGGGAAGAAACATCAACGTGAGAGACAAACATTGATCGGTTGCCCCCTGCATGTGCCGGACCAGGGATCAAACAGGAAACCTAGGTATGTGCCCTGGGAATCGAACCCGCAACCTTTCAGTTACAGGGTGACGCTCTGACCAAGCGAGCCACACCAGCTAGGGAGAGACCATCTAGTCTTAATCCTTTGATATAGGTTCATCCTTCCTCATACTTTTCTCCTTGAAACAAATTTTTGTTGTTGAAGAAACCAGGCCTTTGCTCTATGGATTATCTCAAATTCTGGATTTGGTCAATTGCATGGCTATGCAGTATTTTCATGTTTATCTGTCTTCTGTATTTTCTACAAACTAGTTAGATCCAAAGGCTTGATCTAAATTAGGCTTAATTTTTTGGCAAGAATATTTCATAGCTGGTACTGAAAGCACAATATACCTGGTTATCTTTTATGTTAAGATTAATCAGTGGCCAGGTAGCTTGGTTGTTTAGAGCATCATTTTGATATACAAAGGTTGTAAGTTTCATCCCCCATCAAAGCACATATAAGGAACAACTAATGAATGCATAAATAAGTGGAACAACAAATCAATGTTTCTCTCTCTTCCTCAAATCAATAAATAAAAACAAAATTTCTTAAAGATTAATCTGAATTTGGGTATGGTCACCTACACATTTTTCTTCATCCATTACCCTGCTTAATCAGGACAGAATAGCTTTCTTATTGTTTGGTATGACATGATCTCTAGGCTCATCTGGTACATTTCCTGCTGCAAACCTAAAATCAGCTATTTTTACATCACACCCTGGTTCCCTTTAGTGAAAATAGCTTATATAGCTTAAAATACTTATTTTTTTAACAAAATTCCTAAGAATATTAATGAAATCTTGTTATTGTACAGAAAGTAAAAAGCAAACCAACAAAGGGTTCATGCGAATGTTAAATTCAAGCAAAATGAGAAACCTATCAAGTACTCATTGAGCAATCAGAACAACATCCTAAATACTTAAAAGCAGTAACAGATTTAATCTACTAAAGAAAAGTAAAAAGCTTATAGAAGTGGAAGATACTATATATCAAAAGACAGAGGGCCCTTAACTGAAGGAACTAAGTCAGAAACCAAGAACAGATATGGATCAGACAAATGTGAAATAATTTTGGCCTCTAGGATACATATACATGAAACAAGATCATGCATAAGCATATCAACTATTATATACTTAAAATGATAACTCATTCATTATATTTTTAAATGTCATTAGTTTTGAAACCAATTCTTAGCCAAGAATATTTAATTTTTTTGATAACCACAATTTTCCCCAAAGTAGGGTTCCAGTTACAAAGTTATTACCTCCAGTAAGTTCTGAATTTCCTCTTCCCTTTTATTTAAGCAAGATATCCACTGTTCAGAAAAACAAAGTACGCTTGTGTTCAGAGCTTCACATCTCTGTTCAGTCTCTTGAGACGTTATTTCAAGGTTGCTATTGAGTTTATCACAGTGTTTCACACACTCTTCAACCAATTGTGTGCCTTCTTGGTTAAAATGTCTGAGTTCCTGTGATAAGTCATCACAATCAGCACAAAATTTTGTATTGTGATAAGTTGTTTTGCTGATTATATCCTTAGATTTCCTATAGGAAAAGAGAACAGCATTGTTAAAATGGAAAACTAAGACTCAAAGGATATATAACTTGCCCTAGATTACACAGATCAAAAATGGCTTATTTAAACCCAGGTAGTCTGCCTCCAGAGCCCACGTTCTCACTTAGTCTTCAACACTGAGAAGGGATGCTTTAGTCAGTGTCTTTTCACAGCAGACCAACATCACATCTGCGATAAGATGACCTTTGAAAATGTCTTTTCTCATAAAGCCTATCTCGGTCCTACCTTTCTGAGGTATAATGCTGTACTTTTACCTCTTAGAGTATTAACTATACAATTATTAAAATGAAATCTGTGTGTTTTATTCCTCCTATTAAATTATGTTATTTAAGGGCATCTACAGCCTCTAGTCTAGTCCCCAAACTGTCCAGTCATTCTCTTTTTAAGCAGTTTTACCTTGCTCATAACATAAATCATAAAAATTATAAATCTTACAAAAGTCAACTATAAAGTCTTCTAATTAAAAGGAATGATATTGATGTGTGACAAACTATACATAAAGTACACATAGTACATAGAAACATAACCCTGACATAAAACTAAGGCTTGTTAGAATATACATTTAAAATTCTTTGGTGGCTTCCTTCTCTCAGTGAAGTTTCCCATAATAGCATTAAAGTCATCATAGAGCACCACGGAATTAAACTTTGAGGAATGAAAGTTACCCTCTATTACCACTAGGTGGCACACCATGTGAGTAAGCAAATGTGTTCAAAAATTCAATCCCAGATAAAGTGGACATGATAGAAAAAAAAATTTAAGTGGTAAACTTGAAGACTAACAACACAAATCTATCCCCCTGAAGGAATCACAACCCAGTAGGAAGATGAAACTTATTCATAAGTGACTACAAACTATTATAATAAATAACAAAGGGAGTGGGTCTCAAACTTCAGTTTACATAAATCTCATCAAGATTCATGGGCCCTGCTCCTGATTAATTCTTTTACACACAGCCAATGCCAGGAAGATAGGAAAAATGACTTGCCTATGCCTTAAAGAAAGTATACCATAGCTCCCTTCCCATTTCAATCCTATCCCTTCAAAGCTATGGAAGAAACCCAAAATCTTTGTCTAGACACTAGCAAAACAAAGTAGGGAAACGTTTTCAAGATTCAGGCTCTAGAAAGAATGCAAAACAGAACATGATATAATGAACAGTACCAACAACAGGACTAAAAAACAGATGGTAGGAGTTAGGTAGTAATAGAGGTGATAGGCAGAATACTACATCAGCATTGTTCAATAGATATATAACATGAACCACACATGCAGTGTAAATACTTCTAGAAAGCAACAAATAAACAAACAAAAACAAAAAACCTCACAGACACAGACAACAGTATGATGGTTACCAGAGGGTAAAGGGGTAGGAGAGGTTGAGGAAGGTAAAGGGACCAAATACATGGTGACAGAAGGAGTCTTAACTTTGGGTAATGAGCACAAATGCAATCTACAGATGATGTACTTATAGAACTGTATACTTGGAACTTACATAATCTTATTAACCAATGTCACCAATAAATTTAATAACATTTAAAAAGTAAGTACTCCTAGTAGTCATATTAAAAAATAAAATAGGAAAGCAATCGGAGTAATAATGTATTGGGTATATATAGCATATGTGAAAGTAAAATATAAAAAAATAATGCATAAGAAATGTGAAGGAGAAATTGTAAATATACTGTTATAAAGTCCTTTCATTACACATGAAACAGCACACTATTTGAAGGTGGATTAAAATTATTTCAAAATGATAATTTTACTTTTGACCTAGTGATTCCCCTTCTGGAAGGGAATATATCCTATGAAACCCAAAATACTAATTCAAAAGAACATAAGCACACTTATGTTCACTGCAGTGTTATTTACAATAGCCAAGATCTGAAACAGCCCAAGTGCCAAACAGCCCAGCAGATGATTGGATAAAAAAGCTGTGGTACATTTATACAAGGGGACACTCCGAGGCCATCAAAAAGAAGGAAATCCTACCTTTTGTGACAACATGGATGGACCTGAAGATTATTATGCTAAGTGAAATAAGCCAGTCAGAGAAAGAAAAATAACATGTGATATCACTGACATGTGGAACCTAAACCGACTAAACAGAAATAGAGGCATGGGTACGTGGAACAGACTGACAGCTGTCAGAGGGGAGGGGGGTCGGAGAACTGGATTAAAGAAGGTGAGGGAGTTAACCAAAAAGCATATATACATACCACATAGTGTGGTAATAGCCAGAGGGAGAAGGGGGTGAGGGCTAGGTGAAGGAGGGCAAAGCAGGGGAAAATGGGGACAGAGACTTTGCTTGGGGTGATGGGCGCATGATGCAATGTGCACATGAGGTTTTATTTAGTTGTGCCCTTGAAACCTGTATGGTTTTTTTGCAAACCAATGTCATCCCAATAAATTCAATTAAAAATGTTTCCTATTAATCCTAAAAAAAAAACCACTTAAAAAGTAATTTAAAAAGTGTAACTGATAAGTTAATGGCACAGATAAAATGAAAACAAAAATGCTCAACTTAGATCAGGAATGGGCAAATGGAAACAAAACACAAATGATGCAACAAACACAAAATAGCAAAATGGTAGATTTTAATCCAACTATATCAAAACTTTAATGAGAATGGTCTAAAACACTGGCTAAAAGTCACACTGTTAAATTTGGTGAAAAAAGCAAGACCTAATTATGCTATCTGCAAGAAATCCACTTCAAATATAAAGGCTTAGGCCAAAGTAAAGGAATGGAGAGAGTTAAATTATTATGCAAATAGCTGAAGTACTTATATTAATTTCTTATATTAGTATCTACTTATAAAGTAGACTTCAGAACAAGGAAGATTATCAGGTATAAAAAATACATTACAGACAAGGATGTCTGCTTTCACTTCTTTTCAACATCGTATTGGAAGTCCCAGCCACAGCGGTCAGGCAAGAAAAAGAAATAAAGGACATCCAAATGGAAAAAGAGGAAGTAAAACTACCATTGTTTGTAGATGACGTGATAGTGTACATAGAAAACCCTATAGACACCACCAAAAAGCTACTTGACCTAATAAGTGAATTTGGCAAAAAAGTGGGAAACAAAGTCAATCTTCAGAAATTGAAGGCTTTTTTGTACACCAACAATGAAATAGCAGAAGCAGAAACCAAAAAAAAAAAAAATATATCATTGGCTATAGCAACAAGAAAAATAAAGTACCTGGGAATAAATTTAACCAAGGAGGTAAAAGACCTGTACGCAGAAAACTATACGACACTGAAGAAAGAAATTAAGGAAAACACAAATAAATGGAAGTATGGATTGGAAGAATTAACATCATCAAAATGTCCATACTACCCAAAGAAATTTATAGATTCAATGCAATCCCTATTAAAATACAAATGACATATTTCACAAAGAATAGACATTTCAAAAATTTATATGGAACCATAAATGACCCCGAATAGCCTCAGCAATTTTGAGAAAGAAAAACAAAGCAGGAGGGATCACAATACCAGACATCAAACTATATTACAAGGCTACTGTAATCAAAACAGTCTGGTACTGGCACAAGAACAGGCACATAGATCAGCAGAACAGAATCAAAAGCCCAGAAATAAACCCATGTCTCTATGGTCAATTAATACTTGACAAACAGGGCAGAAGCATAAATTTGAGTAAAAATAGCCTCTTCAACAAATGGTGTTGGGAGAGCTGGACAGCTACATGCAAAAAATTGAAATTTGATCACCAAAAAAAAAAAAAAAAATACATTACATAATGATAAAGGGGTCAACTCTCTAAGACACATCAACCCTAAGCGTGTATGCATCTAACAATAAAACATCACATGAGGCAAAAACTGACAGAATTGATACAAGAAACAGACAAATCCACAATTATAGTTGGAGATTTCAAACTCCTCTCTTAGTTTAGAATACCTCATCCATCAAAAGCAGAATATATTATTATTCTTATATGGGTAGTCACACACAGAACTGAAAAAGCCTTAAAATTAAACAGTCTTTGGAACCACAGTCCACAAAAGTGGGCCAGCAGGATCTGCACAGTAAACCTAAACAGAGTGAATTCCCGCTAAAAAAGAAGACAAATAGGATCCTGAATCTCCTAAAATAATAACCCAAATGTTCAAGATACAATCAAAACCTACTCTGGAGTCCTGGTGAACTCTGGCCTGGAAACCAAAAGGTCGCTGGTTCAATTCCCAGCCAGGGCACATGCCTGGGTTGCAGGCCAGGTCCCCAGTTGGGGGTGCACGAGAAGCAACAGATCGATGTTTCTCCCACAAATGGATGTTTCTCTTCCTCTCTTTCTCCCTCCCTCTCCCTCTCTCCAAAAAGAAAGAAATAAAATCTTAAAAAAAAACAAACAAACAACCCACTCTGGAAAATCACAACTTGAATGAGGAAAGATAAGGTGCCAACGCTGATGATTCAGGTGTTGGAATCATCTGGCAAGGATTTTAAAGCAGCCATCATAAAAATGTTTCAATGAGCAATTATAATACTTCTGTGGAAAAATATTTAGTGAAGAAATAGAGGAAATAATTAAAAAAAAGAAACAAATGAAAATTATCACCCTCCCCAAAAGAACACTTCATTGAATGGATTCATCAGTTAAGTTAGAGATGACAAAGGAAGAGTCAGTGAACATGAACACAGATCATATGTAGAATATATGAATAACAACAAAGAGAAAATAAATCATACATCTATAGCCCCAGAGACCTATGACCATAATAAAGGATCTAACATTTGTGTCATCAAAGTCCTAGAAGCAGAGGAGAAAGAGTATAGGGCTGAGAGGTGTTCAAAGAAATAATAGATCAAAGTTTCCAAGTCTGGTGAAAAGCGTTCAGTCTCCAGATTCAAGAAACTGAGCAAACCCAAATAGGAATACAGGGTCCGGCACAAATGACGCCCCCTTTTTTTTATTACAAAATCATAAGCATGCAATTCTGTATCATAACAATATCACACTCCAGCACACCATATGACATTTTAGGTGAAATGTTCAAATTAAAATTACAAATTATTACACTCATATTATTACCCTACCAACCACACTCAAGCAGGCCTTACTTCTGGCAGGCCCCGTATGTAAGACACCATATAATAAGACACCTAAATACGTTAAGACAAAGAAAAAAATCTTAAAAGCAGCTAGAGAAATTTCTTATAGGTGAATAATTATTTGAATGACAGAAGATTTCTCAGGGAGGCCAAAATGAAAGGAAAACAATGTATTCCAGATGCTTAAAGGAATGTCAACCCTGAATTCTACATCCAGGAACAGACTCTTTCAGTATGAATGGGAAAATCAAGGTATTCTCAGACAAAAACAGAATTTCTGACCAGCAGACCTTAAAGACTAAAGGAAGTTTCCAAACAGAAAGAAGCTTGGAACTTTAGGCACAGTTTTATGAACAAAAATAGGTCTAAATATAATAGGAAATCCCTTTCCTCAAGAGTTTAGAATATCCATAGGCAAAAAATCGAAACCTGACGAACCTCACACCTTACATAAAAATGTAAAATGAATCATAGATTTAAATCTTACATGGGATGTTCGCTTTGGCAGCACATATACTAAAACTGGAACAATAGAAAGGATTACCACGGCCCCTGTGCAAGGCTGACACGCAAATTCAAATTTGTGAGGCGTTCCATGTTTATATTTTGGGCATTAAACCTTTATATGTATGTGAAAGGCAAATACACTATTTCCTACCTTTCTTTACATTGTCATTTCACATTCTTGATTATGCCCTTTGATGCACATTTTTATTTTGATGAAGTCTGACTTACATATTTTGTCTTTTGTTTCTTTGGTGTCAAATCTATAATCTATTGCCAAGCTTGAATTTATGAACAATTACCCCATGTTTTCTTCTAAGAGTTTTATAAGTTTAGCTCTCATATTTAAGTTTTTCTTCTATTTTGAGTTATAGTTTGCATATGGACTGAAGCAAGGATCCAACTTCATCCACTTTCATGTGGTTATCCAGTTGTTCAAGCACCATTTGTTGAAGAGACCCTTCTTATGGATTACAAAAGCCTCGACACCCTTGTTGAAAATAAATTGGCCATAGGTGTTTTGGTTTATATCTAGATTTCAATTCTATTTCATCAGTCTTGGTTTTGTTTGTTTGTTTTGCCAGAAGTTTGTTGTTTTGATTACAATAGTTTTGCAGGAAGTTATCAAATTGGGAAGATGAGTCCTTCCCCTGTTGTTCCATATGAATTACAAGGATGGACTTTTCCATTACAGCAAAAAGGCCTTTGGAATTTTGATGGGGTTGCACTAAATCTTTATATTGCTTCAGGGACTATTACCATTTTATCAATGTTAAATCTTCCAATATTTGAATATGGGATGGTTTTTCATTTATTTACTCATTTTGTTTAGCAATGGTTTTAATTTTCAATATACAAGCCTTTCACCTCTTTCTCTATTTCTACTAATTAAGATTGTGTTTGTGTACAAATAAACAAAACCTTCTAACAATAAAATAAATATATCTTACATGGGGATGGATAAATGGTGACTTTGGGTGTTAAACACACAATATACAGATAATCTATTATAGAGCTGTACACTTGAAATTATAGAATTGTACACTTGAAAAAAAAAAGAATTGTACATGTGAAACCTATGTAATTTTATAAACCAATGTTGCCCCAATAAATTTTTAAAAATTTAAGAAAATTTTATTTTTATTAAAAAGAAAAAGAAAAACTTTTTAAAAATAAAATTTCAAAACTTCTAAAAGAAAAATTAAGTCTGACTGGAACATATGTAAGTATGTGAGACTGACAAGCAAGGGGGCTATAAAGCAACATTAAACTCTAATGAAGGAATCAGCAAACTTTGTCTTAAAAGTCCAGATAAAAATATTTTAGTCTTAAAGGCTGTATAGTCTTTTAATGTACATCTGCAGCAAAAAGGCAGCCAAATACAGCCAAAGGCAACACAAATAGAAATATCTGTGTCCAATAAAATTAACTGCAATCACAGGCATCCAGCCCACCAGCCAAACCCTACTCTAATTAGTAAGTATAAATTTCGTTACTGCCATGGGTTAGACAAATTACTTACTATACTTACTTACTATATATTGTAAGACAGAGCAAATTAAGTAAATATACTGTGAATGAGATCCAGGTTTCTCACTGTCTGAAAGGGAGCACAAATATAGAGTATTTATATGCATGTCTATGTACACACATCACACACACACTTCTAGCTGTATTCACCTAGGGTATCTAGAAGAAATGACACCCCAGTAGCAATACCATACCTAGAGCTCAGGTCAAGGTTTCTATTATTATGATTTCAGGGCTGGGGCTGATAAAGTACCAGATGAGCCTGAAACATCTTCCTATACCAGAAAGTAAGAAGCTCAAATATGATAGGTCATACTAAAAGGATACAGGAGTCAACTTGAAAGAGTTTCTCACTAGTCAAAGCTGGGATAATTTGAGTATCAAAATAAATAACCCAGAGGACAAAAGATTCCATGAGTATATGCTAACATAAAGAAATTAATAAAAATAAATGGGAGGAAAAATGGAAAGGGAAAAACTCTTCCTCTCAGCAGAATGCCAACTAACAATAGTAGAAGAAATGACAAAATTAGAAAAGATAATTTGACAGACACTATTATTATGGTTGTTTCACACATATTATCATTAGACCCTAAGAGGAAAGGGATAGTTATATAGTTTCAAAGAATCTCCACATAAATTCTTTATGAATTGCAAAGGAAAAGAGTAACTAAATTATAGTGGAGAAATCTGGAGGACAGCACTGTAACTAAGTTGAGTTAAATAAAACATCACCAATTATGAGACAAATAGGTATCATCTACCTTGTGATATCTAAGATGCACTAAAAACAAATCACTTTTGTAACATCAAAATTACAACTATAGATCAATGAGTCAGAACTGTCAGAAATCAAGCTGAATGGAAGTCCTACACTACAGATTTAAAGAAGAAACCACATCGACCCAGTACGAGAAGCAGAGACATGGAACAAGCAGGTCCCACACCTGCAGATGGCAGATAAAAATTGGGAGGGATATTTCAGGACCAAGGGGTCCAAGCCGTACACCAGGGCCCAGCCCAGGATTCCAGTGTTAGGAAGGTAAGTCTCCATAACTTCTGGTTGTAAAAACCAGTGGGGATTGGGGCTAGAGGCTGTGGAAGACAGAAAGGTCTGGCCTTCCTGGAAGTTCTTCCTTTCCTCTTCCTCTTAAAGGCCCTGCACACAGAATTACTCAGACTCACTCTCTCAGAGTTCCAGCTCCAGGGCAACAGCTGGAAAGGTACTGAGGCCTACAGAGAGGAACTGAACTTTTTGGCATCAGGGTGAGAGCTGGGGGTATGCTTTTACCCAGACATAAGAGCTGGCAGAGTCCACTGTTCCTTTTCTGAGCCCTTACACCACAGAGACACAGAGCCACAGAGCCAGCAGGCAAGCTCCACAACTGAGACTCCTTCAACCTGGCTAACAGTTTGTCCTATTAAAAAAAACCTGGTGAATCCCCATTGGCCTGCCTCAACCAAACCAACTTTTGGGCCCACCAAACTTGTTTCAGAGGCTTTTCCATATGAATGGCCTGTCTTTGTCCATGCTTCAGATTTTCCTAAATGCTCTAAAACAAGCAGCATCTGGACTTGGTTCACAGCTTGGCCTTGCCTGGGCACCTCCTAGCACAGCACAAGTAGTAGCCATCTGCAAATCGCTGTGTCGCTTATGCTATGTGACCTCAGACAGAATATGGTTGGTGGCTGATCCTGGACATGCCAACAGCAATCAAGGCTCAACTACAAGAGTAGGGTGGACACATATCACATTGTGGGTACACCTCGAGTTCCCAGCTTGGATAATAGGGGAGGCTGTGCCACTGGACCCTACAAGACACCTGCTACATTAGGCCACTCTACCAAGCCTGGCAAGATGTAGCAGCTCTACCTAATACATAGAAAGAAACATAGGGAGGCTGCCAAAATGAGGAGACAAAGAAACATGGCCCAAATGAAAAAACAGACCAAAACTCCAGAAGAAGAACTAAACAAAATGGAGACAAGCAACCTATTAGATGCAGAGTTCAAAACACTGGTTATAAGGAGGCTCATGGAACTCAGTAAGAACCTCAACAGCATAAAAAAGATCCAGTCAGGAACAAAGGATACACTAATTTACAGGGAATCAACAGTAGAATGGATGAAGTTGAGAATCACATCAGTGCACTGGAATACAAGGGAGCAAAAAAAACCCCCAATCAGAACAGCAAGAAGAAAAAAGAATCCAAAAAAAAAAAAATATATGAGGTTAGCATAAGGAGCCTCTGGGACAACTTCAAGCATACCAACATTTTCATCATGGGGTTGCCGGAAGGAGAAAAGAGAGCACAAGAAATTTTAAACCTATTTGAAAATTGACAGAAAACTTCCCCAACTTGATGAAGGAAATAGACATACAGGTTCAGGAAGTGCAGCGAATCCAAATCAAGATGAACTCAAAGAGGCCTACACCAAGACGCAATATTAAAATGTCAAAGGTTAAATACAAAGAATCTTAAAAGCAGCCAAGAGAAAACTAGTTAGTTACCTACAAGGTAACTCCCATAAGACTGTCAGCTGATGTCTCAAAAGAAACTTTGCATCTACATGGGACTGAGAAGAAATATTCAAAGTGATAAAAAGCAAGGAACTACAGCCAAGAGTACTCTACCCAGCAAAGATATCATTTAAAAGTGAAGGACAAGAAAAAGCTAAAGGAATTCATCAGCACCAAATCAGTATTATATGAAATATTAAAAGTTCTTTTTTAAGAGTATTAAAAATATGAACAATAAAATGGCAATAAGTATATATCTATCAACAACTGAATCTAAAAATCAAAATAAAATAAACAACCAGAATAGAAATAGACTCATAGATAGAGAGAACGTTTTAATGGTTGCCAGTCTGGAGAGGGGTTGGAGGGATGGATAAAAAAAGTGAAGAAATTAATAAGTACAAGTTGGTAGTTAGAGAATAGTCATGGGGATGTGAAGTACAGCATAGGGAATAGAGTAGCGAAAGAACAAGTCCATGACCCATGGACATGGACAACAATGTGGAGGTTGCCTAAAAGGCGGGGACGGGGGGGCAGGGTGTGTGTTGGTGGGGGGGTGTGTGTGTGTGTGCGCGCGCAGGGCAGAGCTGAGTGGAGGGGTACACAAGGGAGGAAATTGGGACAATTACAAAAGCACAAATAAAATATAACTTTTTAAAAAATATCACTTTTGTGGTATTCTTGATAATTTCAACTTATCATGATGGCCAACCCCAACTGAGGGACATGAGTATTCTATACTTTTGAAAAAAAGTAAAGGTCTGAAACACAAAGACTAAGGAACTGTTCCAGATAAAAGGAGACTCAAAAGATATGACAGATGCAATGCATGATCCTGGGCTGAATCCTGAACCAGGAGGAAAATCTTTTTCTTTTCTTATAAAGAACATTAGTGAGATAATTGACAAAATGTGAATTAGGTGTATATATTATATAATAGCAGTTATCAATATTAATTTTCTGATCTAATATAATTGTACTATGGTTATATAAGAGCATCCTTGTTTTCAAGAAATATACATTGAAGTATTTAGGAGAAAGTTTGCATTATATCTATAACATCCTCAGCTAGTTCAGAAAAAATATAAATATATAACAGTACAGGGGGAAAAGTGAGAAGAATGAGAATGAGAAAACAAACATAATAAAATGTTAAACAAGAAATTGGGTTGATTGTTTTTGTACTAATCGAAGGTATTTATGCTGAAATAATTTCAGAAGCAGAAAAAAGTTAAATAGAATTTTCAAACCGCTTACTGCTCTGTGTTTTCTTGGACATTAGTAAGTGGTTTCTGGATGTTTTCACACTTTTCCTCCAAAGCACAGAATCTCTCACCCCAAAGACTGATTAACTGGCAAAGTTCCTGTAAGAAAGGTGTAGGGAGAGGAAGAGATTGAAATTACCACACTTGAACTTTTTTTCTATTCTGACATAAAGTATTATCCCCATAGGTGAGAATTATACAAATTCCTTACAAGAGTTATTTAACTAAAATAAATAAATAAATAAATAAATAAATAATCACACAAACAAGCAAAAAAATTTTTTTTGAAAGAGTTCTTTAACGCTACCTCTCTCCCATAGAGGGAAGTAGCGGAGGTTGATATTAGAAGGATAATATTATAGGGATTTTTTTTTAAAGTAAATAATGAGTAACTTGGTATTTTAACAAATACCTTTAGTGTACCTCTAAACTTACCAAATATATCAAAATGTGACATTATGTTTGAGAATCACTGTAACAAATATATAGTGGCTTCTTAACTGGTAACACTACCAGAAGGAAAATGTGAAGCTGATAAACTCATGGGTCAAGCAGTCCAAAATTTGTTATTACTAGAGCTGAAACATTTTATAGAACCTAGATGGATCATATTAATAATATCAATATAGAGTTTTATCTTTGCTCATACTTGCCATCTTTAAAAACAAGCTCTTACAGGAGTACAACATGCTAGAGACTTATATGGCAAAATGAAGAAGCTACACTAAAGACCAAGGAAGATTCGAAAGGGCGCCCAGTATGCTTATTCACTGTTCAGTCCATTAGTTCGGTCCATCTTTGAATAACACATCAGCTGATAAGGCAGAGCTAACACTCTGATTATGAATAAAGTCTGTCAGTATTTTTACTAGCCTCAGAGTAGAGCGAAATGCAGGTATTATCAGAAATACCTACATATAAATAGGTGTTCAGAGTTTTACATAATTGTTTTGTTAGTGATTAACTTCAAGCTCTACAAAAATCGAAGAAATTCTCTACTTAGTAAACTTGCTTTTTTTAAGCCAGAGAATTCAAACCATCCATACTAAAATACTTTTTGGATCACAGGTATTTTGGTTTTAAACATTTCATTACCCATTTTAAACATTTCAAAAGAGCTAATTTATAAAAAGTTTATCTACCTTAGAATATATACCTAAAAAGTTCTAGACAAGTTTAAGGTAAATAACCCTATGCAGAGATATGAGATACTACTGCAATTTCAAATTGCAAGAATATATTCAAGAAATATATAGAGAAGCCACTCAAAAATAAATACTTTTCAGGCAATGTAATCACTGGCACCCTATAACATGATCTGAATACTGTTAGAAGCTTGCAAGGCCTCTGTTTCCTCATTAGAAAACTGGGCTAGTAATAAAACCTATATCTATATTAGTGGGAGAAATTAAACACATAAGTTGCTCAATAAATGTTAACTCTTATTTTTACTAATTTCTGATACCAATCCTTTTTCTGAAAAGTTGCATTAGTATCGATTAGGAAAATGATTAATCTTCTTTTAAAGTTGCTTTATATTTTACCTAAAAATCTTGGATATGTTCTTCTTCTCATTTTTGGTGACATGGGTATGAATTCCCTCTCCCTCACTACCCACCACCACACAATCCTTTACTAACCACTAAATTATGTCAATAGTTTTACTGACTAAAGAGTTCTGTCATGAATAATAGCCTCACTTAATAATAACTTTAGACATTCATTACTAAGGCCTTAAAAATACCAGGAATTGTTTTCCATATATCTGATATGTATAGATTATGACCTTCTTGGCTTGAAGGTTTGGCTTTGGTTTAAAGCGTCATATACTAAGGAACAGTTTACATGGAGGAAGATAAGTCATGAATTACATTTCTAATCAATCAATAAATATTAAGAACTATATTAATTTACTACAATTTAAATGTCTGACATGGATGAGACAGAAATAGTAAGAGGAAAGTGGGGCAGAGTTTATGACAGTAACTATCCATGTTACCCTAGGAAAAAACAATTCATCAAGTTACAATGCAGGTATACATTCATTTAAAATGCTATAACCATTTTCTTCTAACTGTGCCCTCAAAGGTATGTTTCTCCAGCGTCACTGATCATTGTAGTGTGAGGAAAAAACTGTTTTGTTTGTCTAATGTGCTTTAGCATAGGGTTCTAAATGTAGCAAATCCTCAAATAGTAACTGATCAAGAAAAGCATTCTCTTTTAAAGAGAATTACTGTTAAAATCAACAGTAGCTCTGGTATTTTCAGGTTTCTAAATTAGTCATATAGCATTTAGATTGTGTAACAGGGATTATCAAGATAAAGATAATTTTAAAAAATGTTCTTTTTACACTCCCCAAATCACCTAAACAAAATACCTGTGAATGGATTTTCTTTATTGCCTTCAGGTCTTCAGTTAAATTTTCACACAGCTTCTGTGACTCTGCCAAGGAAGAAATCGTATTTTCTTGTAGTTCACGTAGATTATCACACAGCATACCAAGAAAGCCATCCATTTCCTTTTTCTGATCTTCTATCTTTGAAGGAAAAAAGATTAATTTTTTTTAATTAAAAAAATTTAAGTTTGTTTTTATTTTTTGAATACATACAAAATAGAAAAGGTAGAAATCAGTATGAAGAGCAAGTCCTTTTTTCTCTCCAGCTCCTAGACCCCCAGTCCTACTCCCACCTGAGAGAAGATCGCTACCATTTTTAAACAATTCCAGAGACATTTTATGTATACTTAGGCACATATGCATACATGTGTAGATACACGTATCTTCCTCACCCACCATATGATAGCATGCTGCATGTTACTTTGTAAACTTAAACATTTATCTTTATCGTTCCCTCTCATTTTTCTTAGCCATGATTCTGCTGACTGCATCACTGGCAGAGTGCATCCTATCTCCTCCCTCCCTCCTCTAGATTCCTTCTCAAAACCCTTGAGTTTTACATGTAGACAAATCTCCAGGTGTGGCAACATATAGGTTTTTTCTTAAACAACAATTTGATTTTGAGATAACTTTATTACCTTATTAGCCACTGTCAGTGAAGTCTTAAAAATATTCTTGAGTTGACTATCAATTTTCAGTATAGCCAACACAGTAGGAGATAAAACTGTTTCCAGTGAACTTTGAAGGTCAGTCTTAAGTGCATTCTGGTTTTAAAAATAAAAACAAACAAGTCTTTAAAAATAATATTTTCATGTCCATAAACCTGGCTGGTTAAACCTCTTAAATACTTTGTTAACTAAATACATACATATTCAAATTCTAAGTATCCATTTTCTATTCTTTAGAGCCTATTTGTTACTAGTTTATATTCTGCATAAGTCACTTAATCTTGCCTATAGTAATTAAGAAAATGGTCACTTACTGTACAATAGGTTCCTAACAGTTTACTGCAACAAAAGTCAGGAGAATCAGAAGAAATGACAGCCACTTCATAAAACATCAATATTGCAAACAAAGAGTATTTTTAAAATACATTTTAACAAAATAAATTTCAAGTAAGTTTAGGTTATAGTCAAAAAGGCTGAAATCACATAGCCTCCAAAAGTAGGCTTTGGACTAAAGTTAATTTAACTTTGATGGCCTCAGGACTTGTATCATACCGTATCAGAAGAACTTGTCAGGTTCTTGTTCTTGTCAAGGGATATGTTAAGTTAAAAATGTAGTGTAGAGATTTTTTTTTTTTATCCTCACCCGAGGACATGCTTATTGATTTTAGAGAGGGGAAGAGTGAGGAAGAGAAACATTGATCGGCTGCCTCTCATACTCGCCCTGACTGGGGACTGAACCTGCAACCTAAACATGTGCCCTGACCTGGAATCAAACCCTCAACCTTTTGGTTTATGGGACAATGCTCCCACCAACTGAGCCACACTGGACAGGACTAGATGGAAATTTTTTATAAAAAGGGGAAAAAAAGCTGACCTAAGCTCCTTTCACTAAGGCAGGGGTGAGAAACTATAACAGAAATTATTAGTAAATAATTTTTTTAAAAGGCTATCATTATTCATTGGGAAAGAAGTATCATTCTAATTTCAACTCCTTCTGTGGGAGCAGCAGTCACCTCTTCAACTCAAGCAATGCCTATAACCTGGTAGAAAGACATCAATAAATACAGGTTATCATTTAGTTAATGAATCAATTTTCAAAAAGTTAGTAATGACAGCATCTTTTAACTGTCAAATTTTGGTGATTGAAGATATCAAATAATGTCATATAACACTGAATCTAGGCAAAGTGTCAGCTAACATTTGTAGTATCTACTTGGAAAATGTTCAACAAATATCATTAAAATCAAAAAGGGAGGCAAAGAACTTGCACAAAGAAAAAGTATGTGATATGGCAAAGAGCTTCATAAACAAATCACAGGATTACAAAATAGAGTATACAACACAAATAAGATATGGAGGAGGTAATATGAAGTATAATTAGATGAGTGACTTCTATAGAACTGTGAAAAAGAACCTTATAGTTAAGGCCCAGAAGGACTTGATCACACAGATCTGACCTCACAAATTGTTCTATGTGTTTCTAGAATTCTGTATTCTAAGCTATTTTTCTTGCACATCTCTCTATATTACTGTAGTTTTAAAATTAACCACTTAATATCTCCTTCTGGTTGGGTCAGTGTAACATTAGGACCATTCCAGGACCCCTGCAGAGAGAATAATTTACCTGTTTCTGAGCCAACTGGCAAGTCATGAGTCCCTTGAATTCATCTGGAGCTAAAGCTATACTTTTTAGTAACCCTTACTCTTTTTTTTTAATTTCCATTGCTTAATTTGATAGAGGGAGGGAAAGAGTGAGGCAGAGAGAGAAAGAAAGGGAGATAGAGAGATCAATTTCGTTTTTCCACTTGTGTATGCTTTCATTGATTGATTCTTGTATGTGCCCTGATCAGAGATGGATCCCTCAAACTTGGCATATTGGGACAATGCTCTAAGTAGCTGAGTCACCCAGCCAGGGCCTATAACTCCTACTTTTAATGCTGCAAGATAAAAGTGAAAGAAGTTTCAAAGGTTGGTTATATGCATTTGGAAATTAATCTTTCTGGGAAAGAAAAACAATGGAGAGATTTGTCTTTGATATGTAAACATACTTTCTTAAAGTGGTATGTTTATCACTGTGTCTAGTAAAGCTAAGATGAAACATTAACATTGTTTTTGAAGACTTAGAAAATGTAATAACCCTTCAAAAATACTTTACCCCTGGCTGGTGTGGCTGAGTGGACTGAGTGCCAGCTTGCAAACCAAAAGGGTTGCTGGTTCGATTCCCAGTCAGGGCACATGCCTGGGTTGCAGGCCAGGGCTCCAGTAGGGGCACAAGAGGCAACCACACATTGATGTTTCTCTCCCTCTCTTTCTCTTTCTCTTCCCCTTCCCCTCTCTCTAAAAACAAATAAATAAAATCTTTTAAAAAATACATTAAAATATTTACTAACAATCAATGTCTGAAGTACAGTTTTACTTTCTTCTGCTATTGACTGTTCTTTTAATATCATATTAGAAATCTGAGAAACATGTGTAGACACATTTTCTGGAATAGATGTGAGAGATCCAAGTGCTATTGTAGTAATGGTGTCTAATGCAGAAATACTGGAAGACAGCAGGTTACCTATACCAAAAAAATAAAATAAAATACACATAAGCTTTAACATAAACATATTTAAATACAGTTAACAACCACCACAGAGGTTGGCAAAATTATATCTTTGTTGTGGAAATTTGTCATAACAAATAATCTTAACATTATTGTCTCACTACATAAGCAGGGAAATATTTTAAGTATAAATTATATTTGTCCTACAGTATAATGTAAGCACTTGACATATCTGTAGGTATATCAGATGCATAGCTATAATTCACAGTAAACCAAGAATTAGAATATTCTAAAATCAATCTTTAAGTAAAAAGTAATAAACAGTATTATAGTAGGTAAAAGAGAAACTAGAAGTCAATAAACAAAATTTATAGTGGTTGGCTTAGAATGACCAGACTCTAGGCAATTTAAAACAATTTTTACATTTCTGCAGCTCCCAAATTTTCTGTAATGAGGATAAAACTCTCACAATTAATAAACTAATACTTAAAGAGTATTTTTCCTAAGTGAAGATAACAATGATACATATACATATTCTGACAATATAGCAAACACTAAAGATAAACATTCTCAAAAAAAAAAAAAAAAAGCAAAATACTTACATACAGAAAATTCAAAAAAAAAACAAACAAAAAACGCAAGAAATTTACCAGTAGTACCTATGGAGGCTGAGGCAGGGTCAGATTAAAGGGACTTTTACTTCTAAAGTTTATATTCTTAGTTATTGTTTTGTAAGTTATTTTATAGAAAACAGGAAAAAAAGATAACTAAGATTTGTTTTAATCCGAAGGCAATGAAAGCATTAAATCCCTAGTCTGAACAGATACTGTGTGCACTGGAGTGAAGTAGGGAAACTGTCACCTAAATTTTCTATGATATGAAACTATTAGTTTTGAAATTAGTCTCACACTAAACACACAAAAACTAGAGTAATTAGAAATGCCTGAACTTACCAAACAAGGTCTTGTGAACTTCCAACATGGTCTTTTGTTTTGAACTGCCATCCTTTATTAATTCTTTCATATTATTAAACAGACAATTCAGATTTTTGCCAAAAATATCCTGAGCTTCTGCATTGTGCTGATCAACTGCCTTCTTACGATCCAGTTTGGTATGGAGGCCAGATACATCTTTTGTAGTTTCTTCAACTGTGTTAAGCAACTATATATGATTTTTTAAACAAAAATGTTGATCAGATGGTTATGACAACAGCTGTCTATGGAAAATATCTGTGCTACATAAGGATTTCTCTTAATGAGAACTTGCAAGTTTTCTATATTATATCAGAAAAAAATTTTAAACTCATGCTCATTTATCTAGGAATATTTATTTCCACTCCCTAGCCATTTAGGCAAGGAAAACTGATTTTGCCAATCATAGTAATTATGCTCCCCTGTAAGTTTTTTTTTCCTATTATGTGTTACTATTTCCTTAAAAGTACACCTAATAAAAAAATTAAATACTTTCAACATCTTCCATCATCAGAAGGTACTAAATTCTTGATAACTGATTAATTTCAATCATGGCCACAGGAAAAAGCATTACATCATTATTCCAAATGTCCACAAAGTATATTAACGTCATGTTCTATTTCTAAAACTTCTGAAAGCTTTTTCTTAAGTTAGCATCTCCAGGAAGGAAAATTTAGATAAAATGTCACTTGGGGTAAATAAGTAGAATTTCACAATTAATGCTAAAGCAAAGTTACTTCTACCCATTCTCTAATTTCTTTAATGCAAGTACAGTCAAAACAAAGGACAAACCTTGCTGGCAGTATCATGAAGTTTCTTCTCAGTACTTTCCAAAACTGATGTGATATACTCTTCTTTAACAAGCTGTAATTTAGTTTCTTGTAAATGTTTCTGAGTGGTTTTAAGCTCCTGTGTCTTATTTTGCAGGTCAGATTTACACTGGTCAAGCTCATTTTTATTATCCATGAACAATTCTGTAACCTAAACATAACACATTAAATTTTTTCTAAGAATTAAAAATGCTGACTGGTTGGTAAGACATCTGACTAGTTCATAATATAATATTAGAAAAACCAAACAATTTCCATGAAAAATTGTAACAAGCTGTAAATTAGCAGGCAGGTTAGCATATTTTATATGGCACCTGATTTTCTTCTATATGTTAATTAAAAACAAATAACAAGACTAATGTAGTGGTATTAATTCTTCAGGATTTATCCAACACTGCCAATGTGAGGGTGGCACAGAAGGATCAGGTAACGTTTTAGTTACTTAACATCTGTTTTATCCCAAAATCACATTCCCTCATCTGACAAACACGTTAACAAAAGTGTCTCAGCATTAACTATTTAGCTTGAACAATAAAATTGCACAATTCAGTTAATTTCTTGTAATGTTGCATTAATGTTAAGTGTCAAAGAATTTCTTCATTATGATTGATAATAAAATGATACAACTTACTTCTACTATAAGGTTCTGCAAGGAAAAAATCTTAAATAAAAAATACCAAGTCCCTCATATTTTGAAATTTTATTTAAATATCTGCTTTTTACATAACATCCAATATTGTTTGGAACGCTTACCCTACTTAGCTCCTCCTCAAGGGCACCAATTTTTTCAGTCAATTCTACAATCTGTTCTTCTTGAACAGTTAGTTTTCCATTCATGACTCTAAAACAAAGTTTAATATGAATTTAACAATTAGTATTTTATCCTAATTCCTATATAATTTGTTCCAAGATAGCTGTGACAATTACACATCAGCTTTCTATTCACACTACTGTATAATGGTATCTATGTGTCAATAAGCAATAAATACAAATTGCAAAAACAAATGTATTTTTTGTCCTTGTTTAATAATTGTTTTTCCTGTTATCTCCATTTTGAAACTGAGAATCTCTACCTATAAGTGAGAAAAATGTGTGTATGTAAAATTTGAGAAGCAACAAAGCTAACAAAAGAATATAGCAAAAGAATATACAACGTAGAGGTAGGAGGGAATACAACCTACATGTCTATAATCAAAAATGTAGATCATAAAAAGGACATGGAGAATCCAGGAAACGCTCAGGATTTGCAGGTATCAGGCATTACAGGAGGAAGGTATGAAATAAGGGGCTAAAGACGGGAGAACTAAATTAAAGTATGTTGACAGGGCAATTGTACCTCTTACCACCTACATACACACCCAAATATACCCTAATAGCACATCACCACAAAAATCCTCAGAAGAGCATAGGATTATACTCTAGAACACAGTTCCTCAGCCTCAGCACTACTGACATTTTGCACCAGATAATTCCAGTCCATTTTAATGGGTCTCTTATTTCTTGAGCATTAGCAAGTTTCAGGAGTGAGTGCTGTCTTTTATATTCCTCCATCTGCCAGTTTCTTCATAACTATCAACAATTTTCTATTCCACACTTTGCTGAATGACAAAGATTCTTTTGTGAACACAATCTTTCTCAAATTATTAGCTAGAGAATTGTTGATTAAAGGAAAAGGTAGAAGTGAGGTATGACAGGACAATTAGTTCTAACAATCTTTTGATTAACTATTATATATTATTTCTTTATTGAGAATGGGTCTTTTATGTAGGAATATTTGAAATCCTTTTCTTGCCCCAGCCAGTGTGGCTCAGTGGACTGCGCGCCAGCCTGCAAAATAAAGGGTCGCCAGTTTGATTCCCAGTCAGGGCACATGCTTGGGTTGCAGGCCAGGTCAGGTCACCAGTAGGGGGGTGCACAAGACACAACCACACATTGATGTTTTTCTCCCTCTCTTTCTCCCCACTTCCCCTTTTTCTAAAATAAATAAATAAAATCTTTAAAAAAAAAAGAAAGAAAAATGCTTTTCTTATATTGAATGTACAAGAGGTAACGCAACATTATTTAATCGATGATACAGTTTTAAAAGGTCTATTACGCTTGGAATAAGTAAGGCATTATCTTGTTTATCTTGTTGAAATGGTGGCTGCAGCTTTTGAGGTCCTTCTCTGACTTCTCTGAAAGATCTTTGTTTCAGAATATGCCTTATGTCTATTAAGATCAAACACTGTCTTTTCAATCATGGCATTTACAAACTAAAAATAAAGCTATTTCTTAATCTGAAAGACGTCAAAGAGATCAATAGAAGATAAGAAAATTAGACAATCGGTCCCCAATGTCTAAAGTTTAATTATTAACAGCAGAAAATACTATATGAGCAAATCAAGGGACAAAAACCACTTGTAGATATTGATTGGTTAAGCACCCATTTCCAGCATCCAGATTTCCTTTGGGGAATGATTCTCCCCTGATGATGCAGCAGCTAAGCTGTACAAGGCTGCTTGACTCCATCCCCAAATCTAGGAACTAAGCCTGACTGGTTCACAACCACCAGGGCAACTCACTCCTCTCCCAGTTATTGGTTCATCTATTGGCACAACTCAGGCCTACACTAACCATAAATGATGTTCCCCAGGCCAGTTTTAAGGGTAAAAGGACAGAAAGCCTCTCATCTACAATGGACCAAAACGACCACATGCTGCTGCCCTGCTGCTGACCATCGTTCCCTGATGAAACAGCCAGCTCCAGGAGAAAGCCATCTCGAAGAACAGGAGTGGGAACAGAGAGAAACTAGATTCTTGAGTTAGTGGATTAAATAACCTTGAAATTCATTTTATCCCTTGCTGCTTTAAGACAGCTTAAGTTCAGTATTTGTACAAACCAAGAGCATCTGAGACCTAACTTATAAAGTGTTTCTTCAATTAAAATTAATGTTTAAAAATATAAAAGTGGTAGAAATAACGACATCTGTAAAGTGAACAATTGAAAAATATAATAAAATACTGTTGTGTGTAGAGTGAAGAAGTATATCGGAAAACCAGAGAAACACACAAAAAAAACCAATATCAAGTTTAAGAACTAAGTGCAAATTTACAAAAGATTTTAGTAAAAATATTTTTGTCACCTGGGTATGGGCTTTAAAAGAACCAAAGAAAACTAAAGTTACATAGAAAGAATAAAAGAAATGCTATTTAGTAACCCATGATACTCAAAATATATAAATTTAAGTATTTGTAAAATTAGCATATGAACCAATCAGGAGGATATAGCATATATGACAATTGAAAATAACATGAGAAAAATGAGTTTATAACATGATTTAGATACTATTGGAATGATTATATCTCTATAAAAAAGTAAAAGATTATATTAAAATGTTTTTGATTATTATCAATTAGTTCTAAATACTTTTTATCATTATTAATTGAAAAATGCCCTGTGAAAGTCACCTCCCTTAATATTTTCAAGGATAAATGCAATTAAAATTTTTCAATTTATAATTCTTCTGCCCTTTGTTTAATCTGTTGTTACTGTTTCTACGTAAAATTTCATTGGAAGCTTTCCTTTGAACAAACTACTCCAGGGCTTTAAAAAGTGAACAGAGTCCTAGCTGGTGTGGCTCAGTGGATTGAGCGCTGGCCTGCAGACCAAAGGGTTGTTGGTTTGATTCCCAGTGTAGGGCACATGCCTGCGTTGTAGACCAGGTCCCCAGCAGGGGGCACATGAAATGCAACCACACATTGATGTTTCTCTCCCTTTCTTTCTCCCTGTCTAAAAAATAAATAAATAAATAAAATCTTTTTTAAAAAAGTGAATAGAGTAGTGGCTGCTAGGGGTTAGGGATCACTGGACGAGGACTGGATATGACTATAAAGGGATAACAAGACTATACCCTAAGAACACCAAAACGCCAATACAAAAGAACCTATGCACCCCAATGTTCATAGCAGCACAATTTACAATAGCCAAGTGTTGGAAGCAACCTAAATGCCCATCAGTAGATGACTGGATCAAAAAGTTATGGTACATATACACAATGGAATACTACGCAGCAGAAAGAAAAAAAGAAGTACTAAACTTCGCGACAGCATGGATGGAACTGGAGAGCATTATGCTAAGCAAAATAAGCCAGGGGGCGAAAGACAAATACCATATGATCTCACCTATAAGTGGAACCTAATCAACAAAACAAAGATGCAAGGAAAATAAGACCAGCAACACTGAAAGGAAAAGAAACCAACAGGGACAAGAGGGAAGGGGGGGGGCAGGGAAAAGGAAGGGAAGGGGCAAGTCAAGGAACATATAGCAAGGACTCATGGACAAAACCAAAGGGGAAGAGCTGAGGGAGGGAAGGAGGGAGGGGGCAAGGGAAAGTGGTGGGGGGGACGCAGAGACAAATGTATTTGAAAAAATAAATTAAAATAAAATTTTTTAAAAAAATTTAAAAAATAAAAAATAAAATCTTTTTTAAAAAAGTGAATAGAGTAGTGGTTGCTAGGGGTTAGGGATCACTGGACGAGGAGTGGATATGACTATAAAGGGGTAACAAGAGGGAGATTTTTGTGATGATAGAATAGTTCTGTATCTTAAATGCAGAACTACACAAATCCACAAATGTGATAAAATGGCATAGAATTACATATACACACTGTCCTGATATCAATTTCCCAATTTTGATACTGTACTAAAGTTACTTAAGAGGTAACTAATGGGGGACTGAATGGAAAACAAATGGAACTTCTTTGTACTCTTCCTGTAATTTCATTATGAATCTATAAATTATTTTTAAAAGTTATATAAAAACTTTTAAAACTGTTTTCATAGCTACTTGTTAATGTCAAAAGAAAAACAAGCATTTGTAGGAGGAACTACATATAAAGATTTTATTTAATGTCATAGGTAAATTTTACTTAAAACAGCCTGTTATCAGAAAATGCTTATTCTTGGGGACGGAGGAGGACAATGGTGGAGAGAAGGGGAAGGGACTAGTCAAAGAACATGCATGAATGACCCATGGACATGGACGACGGTGCGGGGACTGCCTGTGGGAGCTGGGGGTGGGCTGTGCAGAGGAGCACAAAGGGGGAAATATTGGAACAACTGTAAGAGAATAACTATTTTTTTTTAAAAAGGAAGAAAATGCTTATTTTTGGAAATTAATTTCCCTAAGAAGAGCTTACCTAAAATTTTCTTCAGAAATGTACACCCCATTTTTTTCACGGGCTGCAGCAAGGTCTCGTTTCAGACGCTCTATCTCTTCTGTATATTCCTAAACAAGAAGAATGTTATAGGTGTAAATTTAGAATTTAACTTTTTAAATTTGGTTTCGAGAGAATATACAACAAATAAAGTTAGTCCTTTTATGTTTTTTAAAGCATAAAAAAGTATGGTTAAAAAGTCATAACCATACTTTTCACTGAATAATAATGTGTTAAGAATGAAGTCTTTCAACAGCTTTCAAAGGGCCCTTAAATGTACTCATAAAAATATGGGTTTCTGAAAAAAAAAATCATCATCTCCAGTACCCAGGTTTGTCTCCAAATAGCATTTCACACTATAAAGAAACAAGATTCCTTAGGGAAGTGTCTGACTCTGGGACTGGGGCAAGAAACATTCAAGATAAACCCAGAACATTTTGTCAAACAAAATAGGAGGGAAGCTAAAAAAGCTTCAGTTAATCAAAAGGACTCAAGAACTCACATGAAGAGGTCACCACGGACCAAAGCAGAAACAATTCAAACATCAATGATGATAATAACTACAATATGTTAGCACAAACTTTTTTTTCAGTCTTCGAATGTTTTTTATTGGAAGGCCATGCATTGCCTTCGTTCATTGTATTTCAGATCAATGTGCATGTACTTTTGTGAAAACACTGCCTGCATTTTCTAGTACAAAGAAACCCTAAAAATTGTTTCAGGAATGTAAAGAAATATCCAACTTAAATAGTGAAAAAGTTCACCATAATCACTGCTGCACTACAGTCATTTCTGCATTTCCCATGTTTCTTAAATAACTATCTTGGCTGAAAACACACAATGTAAAGAGCAATCATGAAAAAGACATTTACATATACTTCTAAAGTCTTACTGAGAATATCCTGTTGGCATTGTATAACCTATTATAGGTGCAGCTGCAGCAGCAGGATATGCATATGCCTGTTGGTTCATACCCTTGTGCATATTTGGAACATTACTTCCATATTGCTGAGTGCTATCATAATCATTCTGGTAAGTCCCTGTTGGATTACCAGTCCTAAATCTGGTCTGTATACCAGCAGACACAAAATTACTTCCAAAGCTCCCACTGGTGTAATTGGTAGCACTGTAAACACCATTCTGGGGTTTTGCCCCAGAATCTCTCTTAAGAAGACTAGAGTAACCTCTGTCATAATTTCCCCTGTCTCTAAAGGTATTATATCCATCTCTTTTGCCCACAGAGTATCTGTCCCGACAGTCATCCTTCATGCCTCCTCTACCCCTGGAATGACCTGAACCTCTGTCTTCAACCAACTGAAGCAACTTGGGATTAATTGCTTCATTAGCTTCACGAAGCACAGAGATAAGGTCGCTCACTTGCTTAAAATTATTAGGTGTAAAGAAAGTGTATGCTGTAGCACAAACATTTTAAGTCCATGAGTTTATAATGACATTATGAAAGGTACGATACCAACTAATTCTCAAAACTGTCAAACAAAAGAAAAGAATCAAGCATTTTTCCTGCCTTCCCAATAAGAACTATACTCTTAAGCAGCTAACAGCAAATTCCTCTTTAGAGAGGTTATCCAGCAATCAATTAAGAGTGATTGAATTAGAAAATTACCATTTTTGCAACCCTTAAAAAACTAATGTATCGAATCATTGAATATCATCAATTTCTCACAAATGCCAAAGAGGCAGACATGTGCTTCCAGGTGGGAGAAGATATCACCACCTATGAAAAGGTTTTGCCAAAAATACATAAATAAGATACAATCTGAATCTATAAAGCCTCAGGATCTAACTACTAATTTATAAAAACACAGACTAGAACACATCCAAAGACACTACGGGACAATAATATAGGTACTTTTACAAATAAATGACAGGAGGCAGGGAGGAGAAAAAAGGAGAACCAGTGTATTGAGACCAAACATATTCAAATATTGCAAAGGGTAAACCGTATTTGGATCCTAAAAGAAACATTAAAAAAGTATATAGGACTTCCAGTCAAGACGGCGTCATGGGCAGACATGGTTCACATCCTCCCACAACCACATCAAAATTATAACTAAACTATAGAACAACCATTACTCAGAACCATCACAAATCAGGTTGAATGGAAGTCTGACAACTACAGAATTAAAGAAACCATATCTATCCAGACTAATAAGAGGAGCAGACAATGGAACAGGCTAGTCCAACATCCACTTGTGGTGGATAAAAGTTTGGGAGGGATATCTCAGAATGAGGAGTCTCAGCCCCACACCAGGCTCCCCAGCCCAGGGTTCCAGGGCCAGAAAGATAAGTCCCCACAACCTCTGGCTGCAGAAACCATCAAAGATTGAATCAGTTGAAGAAACTTCTGGAGCCCCAAGCAGTTCCTCTAAAAAAAACCCACCCATGGACTCACCTATTTAGACTCACTCCCTTGGAGCTCCAGCACCGGGGTAGCAGCTTAAAAGGCACTGAAGTCTCTGGCACCAAAGTGAGCAGAGGCCACTGTCCCTTTTCTGAATCCTCCCCTCTCAGAGCCACAGAGCCGGCAAGCTGGTGTCATATCTGAGACTCCATCAACCTGAATAACACTGTTTGCCCTGCCCTGGAGATCCCCTGAGACTCAACCCCACCCAACTTAGGGACCCAGCCACGTTGCTTTTCTATATGAATGGCTGGTCTTGGCTCCTGCTTCACAACTTCTTAAATCCTCTCAAACAGGCAACAGCAGGCCTCAGTGAGCCCCAGGCCCTGCACTAAGAGCAGCCAGCACAGATTCACAGGTTGGCTTCACTTAGGAATCTCCAATCCTTGCACAAACAGCAGACATCTCAGACTGTTCTATAGCTCATGAAGGGTGGCCCCAGGCAGAACACAGGTGGGAGCTGACCTTGGCCTGCACCACCTGGGAAATCCCAGAGCCTGCACATCCAGTGGACAGCTCAGACCACATCAGAGAACCACGACCCTGCCCCTGCAGAGCTGATCTTCCACGGAGGGCAGAGATTGGTGGTAAGTGGTCACAGCCAATCCTTGCAGCTGATTATCAACAAGAATCAAGGTTCAACTACAAGAGGAGGGTGTACCCACCCACACAAAGGGTGCACCCTGAGTACCCAGCTTGGGTGATAGAGGAGGCTGTGCCACTGGATTCTATGGACACCTACTACACTAGGCCATACTATCAAGAAACAGAGTCAAAGCAGCTCTACTCAATACATAGAAACACAAGGAGGCTGCCAAAACAAGGAGACAAAGAAACATGGCCCAAATGAAAGAACAGATCAAAACTCCAGAGAAAGAGCTAAACAAAATGGCGATAAGCAATCTATCAGATGCAGAGTTCAAAACACTGGTTGTAAAGATGATCAAGGAACTTAGTGAGGACATCGACAACATAAAAAAGATCCAGTCAGAAATGAAAGATACACTAACTGAAATAAAGAACAATTTACAGAGAAACAATAGTAGAGTGGATGAAGATGAGAGTCAAATCAATGATATGGAACATAAGGAAGCAAAAAAATAACCAGAACAAGAAGAAAAAAGAATTTTAAAAAAATGAGAAAAGTATAAGCAGCCTCTGGGACAACTTCAAGAGGTCCAACATTCTCATCATAGGGGTGCCAGAAGAAGAAAAAGAGCAAGAAATGGGAAATCTACTTGAATAATGAAAGAAAACTTCCCTAATTTGGTGAAGGAAATAGACATGTTCCAGGAAGCAGAGAGAGTCCCAAACAAGATGCCCACTCCAAAACACATCATAATTACAATGCCAAAGGTTAAAGATAAAGAGAGAATCTTAAAGGAGGCAAGAGAAAAGTTCATTACCTACAGGGGAGTTCCCATAAGACCATCAGCTGATTTCTCAAAAGACATTTTGCAGGCTAGAAGGGATTAGCAAAAAATATTCAAAGTCATGAAAAGCAGGAACCTATAGCCAAGATTGCTCTACCCAGCAATGCCATCATTTAGAATTAAAGGGAAGATAAAGAGATTCCCAGAGAAGGAAAAACTAAAAGGAATTCATCATCACCAAACCATTATTATATGAAATGTTAAAGGAACTTATTTAAGAAATTAAGAAGAGCAATAAATATGTATCTATCAACAACTGAATCTAAAAAAATAAACTAAGCAAACAAGAAAAACAGAGACAGAGTCATGGATATGGAGAGTATTTTAATGGTGGCCAGGTGGGAGGGGAGTATGGAGGAATAAGTGAAGAGGTGAGGGGATTAAGAAGTACGAATAGGTAGTTACAGCATAGCCATGGGGATGTAAAGTACATCATCGGAAACAGAGTGGCCAAAGAACTTCTACACATAACCCACAGACATGAACAGTGATGTGGGGGCTGCCTGAGGGAGTGGGGCTTGCTGGGTGAAGGGGTGTCAATGGAGAAATATCAAGACAGCTATAATAGCATAATCAATAAAATAAAATATGAAAAAATAGAAAAAAGTATAAACAAAAAGTTAAAATTTTAAACAATGGCTGAATATTTTATCATATTAATTACTGTTATATATTTTTAGATTTAATAAAAGCATCAGAGTTCAAAAATTCAAGTACCTAAATAAAATAAATGCTTATTAAAAAGCCTGATAGTCTAAAAATAATACATATAAAATTAATGCAGTTTTCCTTTGGGACTTTTGCAATCTTTTACAAAGAAAAATGTTCTCTCATATAAACTTCCTCTTAAACTGTACTTGATTCCAAGAGTTATTACACAGCTACAGTAATTAAAACTGTTTAATATTGGGGAAGGGATGTATAAGTCAAAGGAACAGAAATAAGAGCCCAGAGATGTGCCCACAAATATATCCAATTGATTTTTCACAAAGGTACAAAATCAACTCATTTGAGAAAATATAGCCTTTTCAACAAAGGATGCTAAAGCAATCCACAGCACCACCGCCATCATTGCCACCATGTGAAAAAACGCAGCCTGACCCAAATTTTGATCCTTTATCAAGGATCAGTTCGAAATGGATCATGGGCTTAAATGCAAAATGTAGATACAAAAAAAAAGTATTTTTTAAAGGAAAAAGCTTCAGAACATAGAGCA